TTAGCTTAGATTAGCTTCATTTAGCTTAGATTATCTGCCATTAGCTTGGGTTAGCTTATGTTAGCTTAGATTAGTTTAATTTAGATTATCTTTCTTTAAGTAGGTTAGTTTATCTTAGCTTCCATTAGCTTTGATTATTTTCCTTTAGCTTCCTTTAGCTTTAATTAGCTTCATTAGCTTAGGTTAGCTTCCATTATCTTAGGTTACTTTCCTTTAGCTTCCTTTAGCTTAAATTAGCTTCCATTAGCTTAGGTTAGCTTCCTTTCGCTTAGATTAGCTTCCATTAACTTAGGATGCTTTCCTTTAGCTTCCTTTTGCTTCCATTATCTAAGATTACTTACTTTTAGCTTCCTTTAGCTTTGATTAGCTTCCATTAGCTTAGGTTACTTTCCTTTAGCTTCCTTTAGCTTAGATTATTTTCCATTAGCTTGGACTAGTGATATCATTAGTAAAATGAAAATAAAACTACAAAAAGACATTAAATTATTATAAAAGGCCAAACAAGAAACAAAATATTTAACAAGGATAACAGTGAGAAATTTTCTTGTTTGTTAAATCAAAATAAAAACACATTTTACGACATGAAAATTAACTGTTTACTGGTTTGATGCCTAAATAACTGTTTCTGTGTTTCAGGAGGTTTAAAATGAAATTTCAGGATTTTCAGAAAGTTTACAAGGTGAATTAATAACCAAGAAAAGATTATTTTCATTATTTTGGTTTCAGATATTTTTTAACTCAGTGTTTATGTTTGGATGGTTAAAAAAAAAGATAAACCCTGTTTGGTATGAAGACTCTGAAGTCTGACCCTCATTACTCTGCAGGAAGTCTGAGGAACCTCCGATTAGCTACTGTTAGCATGCTGGCRGGCAGCTGCTAGCCCGCTAATGGCTAACAGCATGCTAACCAGCTGCTCTGGTTATAAAACCWGAATGTTTCCACAGCAACACAGACRGAAGGAGGACCTGCTGGASGACAAGAAAACAACTGAAGAAAGAAGACTCGACATTGATTAGAAGTACTTCCTGTGACTCACACTTCCTGTTTCCTGTCTTGGTTGCCAAGGAAACGGATGTTAGGCAGGAAAAATTTGCCAAGCTGGAYGTTACTGATAAGTCACAGAGTTATGTGTTTGTGAGGACCCTCGCTGCCTCGAGACCTGAAGCTGTTCTGAGGAAGGACCMGATGTCCCCGCAAAGACAGCTGGAGAAGAATTAAAATTAAAACGTGTCTACAGAAAAGATAAAAGCTTTTATATGGGGTAAGATCACTGTCATAAAGAATGGCATCTGTAGGAGTCTAAACTTGTACATTTAAGTCAACAAACGTGCATTAATTTTARATTTGAATTTGTATTCAAGTAAAATCAAATATGTTTCCTGTGAGAATACAAGTTTAAAGGTTACAAATACAAGTTACAAAGTTACAACTTTGCAACATTACAAGTACGAATCACAAATTTACAAGTACAGTTCTTGTACCCTGAGGAGCTGTCAAAATAACAGACATTATGCATGGAACGCCAAAAATATGAACGTCATGCTGAGCATGTGTGAAAAAGACTGCTTATTTGATTTTACATGAATACAAATACAAATCAAAAAATATGTAAGTTTATTGACTTAAATGTACAAATTTAAACTTTTACACATACAATTATTAATGACAGTTCCCTTGCCTCATACTTTAACTGCTTCAAACTTTAATTTAAATCTGAACTCCTCTCTCTCTGGCTTCGTCCACGAGCAGAAAAAAGTCTGCAATGCATTCTGGGATATGTTGGGAGGATCCGTCGGACCCATCCTTCAAACCAGGGTTAAAGGAGGACACATTTGTYGGATGCATCAGAGGAGTCTTTGAATTCGGACAGCCTACGGAACAGCGCTGTGACGTAAGAGGACAACAAATTTGTCTTTCTGAGGACACAATTTGGACACAAACCAGCGTCCATCGTGGCAACACAAAGAGCCATGAAGACACCAGGATCTGTTCCTGTAACGTCCTTCTTTTAAAGGTTTGGAGCGTTCTTAAACAATGACGGTCAYCCTTAAGTGTTCCCTGGTGGTCCAGGTCCTCCAAAACCATCAGAGTCCTTAGARCAGTTTGGTCCAGAATCATCTATTGTTGGCCTCATAAGAGCTAAAAACAACCTTACAGAAGCAGTTTTACAGCCTGTGACAGACAGACTCTCATTTTACCTTAAAGGGATCCATTAGTTGTAACATTAGACTTTATTTGATTAATATATATTTTAACTGTAAAATAAAAACTGTAAAAATACTGTAGGCTTTTCAGTTTTTATCATTTTTAAAAATATATTTTAACACGGACGGAGCCATTTTATTTCCACGCAAAGCATTCTGGGTAAATGATGATGTGGATAGGTCATCTGTACAAGGCTGCTAGCGAGCTATATCCACCCTGAAGGTTAATCTTGGACAATATCTGATGATGATGATGATGATGATGATGATGATGATGATGATGACGATGATGATGATGATGATGATGATGATGCACTTCAGTAATCTTGCTCTGGTCAACAGCTGGCTGCCAAAACAACTGGTAAAGTGGAACCACCAGAAATGCGGTCATGAAGTTTCTCAAGTTTTACATGGTGATTGCTCAAGTCTTCCTCACAAAGCGTAACATTTTGAGACCCAGTGTCCTCATATGAGGACATCTTTTTTTTTCTTTTTTTTTTTGCATAAACCACTTCCTGTCACATGGCAGGGTGTAGTTATTATACTTATTAGGTCCTACTAAACTCATGTATCTTAGAGAAAGAACAAATGTACATCCAGAAAATCTCAGGAGGTTAAAAATGTAAAAACTAAACATCCTACAGTATTTTTAGTCTTTATTTTACAGTTAAAATAAATGTTTATCAGATAAAGTCTAATGTTACAACTAATCATGGATCCATTTAAATCTGTAAATTTGACTGAACTAGAGTTGGTTAGC